GGGGGGGGGATCTTTAGCAGTAAACGCGGAGTTATGCTCGCTTTACCATGAGTTAGGGCGCTGAGGAAAAGCAACAAACAAAGCTTCCGATTCTAAAGATAACACAGTATAAGTAGATCTTACTTGACATGTAAATGAGGATGGTCGCAGGATGATAGTGTCTGCGAAGTCCAGAAAAGCAGTTAATCGTCTAAAAGTTTCTTTTTGCAGAACAAAATTCTTGATAATGAGTAGATGCTCACCTGTGCTGAGCAAACATCACCATCATCACACGCATGTCTTTCCATAAATTGCACTATGCCAGACTCCTTATATTTAGCGATAATTGAGTAGTACATGTGAAAGGCATTCCCAGCTTCAGAACCAGCAAGTGACTGCCTGAACAAAACGATCTCGGTGTTAACCTCCCATTTAAGTAAAAAATAAAATATTACATCATTTCCCGAAGGTACGACAATAATCGCTCATGGACTTGTAACGATACTATTCTATTCTCCTTGGTTTGAATCACTTTTAAACGCTCACAGAAAGACTCGAAGCCAGCGGGATCCATTCTTGCCCTGCAATCAATGTTGTGGTGAAAATAGGTTCAGGCAAAGCTTTAGAACATCTTACATTGCTGCCCTATTGAACATCATGAAATCAGGTACAATGACGGTGATGGTGGGAGACTCCTGCCGAGGAAGACCAAATTGAAAGGGGCCTGCTAAAAGTATCATAACATACAAATAGCTAACACCCCTAAATTGATAATTATTTCTCAAACCACTCAGTTGTGAAGAGATAACTGATATATCAAATCATTGGACAACTTCGTGTATTTTTTAAGGGGAGAAAGTTCAAAAATCAGAAACTTTGATGATTTGCAATATCTGAAAGAAGTCTGGAGCACGATTACCACTTGTGTTTTGCATTTGGTAGAATCGTATAACTGCCCTACTATAGACTGAAGTAGCTTGCTTTACATGATTGGCGCAGCACCCTCATTCATAATCGCTGTTTCGAGAGCATTCTCGACGAATTGTTGTGATTTTTGGAGATCTCCCTGGTCAGGCCTCAGTAGATTAAAAGGATAACTTGAGAGTTCCATTGCAGTGAAAATTTCATCATGTGTTAGTCTTTTCTTCCTTGAACTCCACACCCACACAATATTCCCGTCATTATGCGTAGCTAAGCGAGAGGCCATTTAGAATCGAAAACGCCTCTCCGCCATTTGCTGTTTGTTGTTGCGCTGGTTAGATGTCCACCCCCCCACCCCCACTCTGCTTGCACTG